GTTTTATTAGATGTTTTAAATCCGTCATGGCAGATTAATACACTGATAAAGAGGCAGATTTCTGAACATAATAAATTTGGCATTTGGTCTTTTTCAGCGCTTCATTATTACAAGTAGAGCGATAGGTTACGTATTCATAAGCGGATAATGTTCAGTGCCAAATTGTGGAGGAACTATAGAAAACTGCAACACCATGAGAATCCAACAAACACCCACTGGAGCTCTGACACTGCCCACGCACAAGAAAATTCTTAAAGTAAAAACAAACCCTGTCAGTGTCTTGTTATTCGAGAACTGTACAATTTCAACATGTGTGAGTCTCAAACAGAAGCAGCGATGCCGTCAAGCAGGTTCAATGAAAGCTGTGAGTCCATCACGCTGAAGTTCCTCTGAACCGAAAACACAATTCCAGAAAGAGACAATTGTGCAACTGATGCTCTGTTGCGTCATGTCTGGTAAGTGTCTGACAGCAGCAGTGGGTTGGACACATTAATGCTATAAATTGTTAATTGTCTACATTAGAAACACCGACACTTATCTGCTTGTGCAAAATAGAAATATTTAAAATTTGTTTTACACATGTACGACCCAACAGTAAGTAAATTCAACAGTGTAACGAATATTAGAAGTAATCACCCCAGAAAATGGCTCCTTCTCACACTGATTCCTAAAAAACTCAAGAGACATTAACATTTCTACCCTCACTGTTTAGAATGTTAGCAAACATCACTGATCTTATTCATGAGATAAAAAGATGGAAAACAAGAAGAAAACAGATTCAACAGATCTTCGGTGACGATACAATAAAGGACAGGACCGCGAGTGACTAAAATAGGCATGACTTTATTTTCATTTTTCCAAAACTGCTGCATAACAAACTAAAATCAATATGAAAACACACAATACAAAATAAAAACAACACCTCAGCAATGCTCACAATGAGAACAAACAGTCTGACTTGTGGATTTACAGTGAGTAAAAAAATGTCTCGTCGTCTCATTCACAAGGTTGCGTGTTGAGCCAGAAAAGCTCGGATTCTCTGCAGGAGCTCTTTCTTCACGCTGTCCGGTACAAGAGCTGCAGACAGGAGGGGAAAAAAATAATAATAATCATGTGAGCACGTCAGAGCAGTGACCGGGAAGATTTAAACATCTGTGTGATACAGTAGAAATCAACAGTCCTGCATTGAATAACTATTTATTCTTATATTGTGACATTGAAGAAAGACTTCTGGATTAGCAGAGAGTTCTATTACTCTTTTCGAGGGATTAATCATAACGTTATAATAATTGTGCCCTCGGCCCTCGAGCAACACTCTCAACTTAGGCATCTTTAGATACGCAACACCAGAATAGAAATCAAAGTACAAAGGGTTTAACCAAAGTTTGACTGCGTGGTGAAGTGATTTTCTGCGATTGTTTCTCTGCTGTCGCATTTGTAATATGAACATGTGAACTTCACCTCTTCCTTTTGGTGTGACTTCTGTGACCAGGTCCTCCACTGTCACATGCTCCAGGCCCTTTTCTCTGATCACATCTGGATACGAGACATACACAAGTGTATCCTTCTTAAATATTGACTTCCATTCATTGTGGACAGCCTAACCGAAACCTTATCCCATGACCAATTCATGCCTAACTAACTAACTTTAACCCCCCCCCACACTTCACATGTCAGGGCTTACGGACACACGTTACTTCAATTGTATTAGATTCGGCTGCAACGCTGTTCACCCCTGAAACTCCTAAAGTGTTTAGTGGACTCAAACACTTAAACCCACCCGTCCATCAGCATGGTGGTGAGTAGATGATGAGTGCATTTTATTTTTTGGGGTCGAACTATCCCTGTGACCTAAACACTGAAACCTGTCTTCACCTTTAACTTAATGATTTAC